ACAAATCTCTGGTACAGGAAACTATATAGGTGTAAAAGCAGTAAAATTGGCGGCATGTTATGCTTAAAGCCCTGGGAAACAATGTAACTATTTCTATGGAGAAATTTTTTTCTTCCTTTAGCCACCTCTAGGTTGCCCCGCGTTGTTGCCCTAACTTCTATAACATTGTAAAGAGCCCGCCCAACCCAGCGCTCTTCAACTAGAATCCCTATGTGAATTGCACGCGAACGCACAATCCCTACCTCACTATTGCCTTTCATTGGAAGTTCCTCCGAATATCATCATGTACCCATTAATTCCCTATCACTCCAGTCCAGAAGGCTTGCTGATGCCTACTAGCACCGTTGTGCTCCTAGCCCCAGTGTGCTGCTTTATTGCTATGCTGGATGTTAGGCACTTTGCCTTGATGGTTCTGGGCAATTGGTTGACCTTTGTCATAGATCTCTTGTCACCAAATTCAGGTCCTGAGTTTGTTCAGCCTACTAGTGAATCCCGCACTGTCAAGCTGTAAAGGTGAATCCCCTGAGAATACAAATGCGGTTTTTTGTTGACGGGAACAAGGCCATGTACCGGTAGTGAATGGTTGTCATGTCTTCAGAGTAAATGGGGCATAAAAGTCATTTTTGAGCGGCAAAGCCACGAGGAGGTTAATAAATGGGCACAATATAGAGGAAGGGCTGTTAGCCGGAGATCGTATAACAGGAATTCAAGAGATGTGTAGCTCACGAAGAGAAGCTTCATTGCATGCTCGAAACTTGTTGGGTGCGGAGTTGGGGGATTTGCCGCACGGCCAGGATAGGTGCATGTTCTACTTGATCACCGGAGTATTTCAGGAAATATGACCTAGTTAAGGAGAGGGCAGCTTTGCCAATGGGATATCCCCCCGGCTAAACGAATCTCTCGGCTACTCGGATGGAACTTACTGTATATATGGAGAGGTATAAACCCGACCTTGGATTGTTCCACGATCTCTTCCAAATACAAGCAGACTACTGTCTATCTCAAAATAAACTGTAACCAAACACGAGAAACATTCCCCGTGCCACTCCCACCTAACTTCGGAACATGGAATTGCCCGTAATGATTTCGCGACCACTCCCTCCTGCACCAAGTATCATACTCAATCTAGAGCAAACGGGAGACAGTTTCATGGCTTACCCAATCACTTGTGAGGCCCTGCCGCTCGCGTAGCGTCTCACAATTCAGGATGTCGCTGATAGCATCCTCAACGCCTCGCCTCTACCGAGGCTCATTACAGAAAAAACCCTAGTTCGACCAAAACAGGAAAAAAAAAATGCTTAAGGAGCGGCACCAAAGAAATACTAACAGATCAACCTTGCACTTGTTGAGAATTCCACTTTCGTTCCTCTTTCCGTCCAATTTCTTGCCACCGGTTGGCACGACTTATTGATTGATTATGATTTCAACAACGTTCTAATACTGCTTGCCTGCGTGATATCGCTGGCCCCGCGGGGGATCGATATTGACTGTAGCAGATGGCAGGGAATGCTGTATTTCCAAATTGCGGATGCCCAATTCCGGAGGATCACGGAAGGTCATGATTTTTCAGGATGATGTGTTTCCTTTATGCTTGTACTGGTAGAGGTTCCTTGGTTTTCGGAGTTGCTAGCCGCTTTGGAAATGTGTATCTCCCGGTCTGCCATTAGCTAGCGTCTACATCGATCGCCCAACTCGCCATCCTTCCCCACCCCGCTGCGAATTGAGCCTATTATGATCGGACTTTCACTATTTCACCCATTCGTGCCTTCTTTATGCTTCATCACCTGTGCACCATGGCATGGGAAGGGCTAACCTGGGTTGCCTGGCTGCAACCCTCCGGTCCCCTCCAGTCACTTTAGACCTTTTTTTGGTGCACTAGGGATAGGTTTTATTTAAGTTACCTGCGTTCACAATGGGGGATACAGAAAGCACTTACTCGATTCTATCCACATCCAGTATCCGTATTGCGTTCCGTATCAACTAGGCACACTAGACCACACCCCAAAGCGAAACAGAATTTTATAAGGAGCTCTGTAATCCGGGTCGGAATGCAGTTTTAGCTTGGAAACCAGACGTCTTATTTCATTATCAGACTCTGGCGAGATTATGAAATATGTTTATCCCCCGCTCCTAAGACACTTCCCTCATTGTGGCTGACCAGCTATCTCATTTGTTTACCGACCGGATGAGAGCCAAGCACTGCTCCAGCACCACCCCATAGCTGCCATCAAGTGGGCAATTTCCCTTTTCCTCTCCCTAATGGAATTGCTCCTATAAGGAAAATCATAATTGGAATGCGCACTCATGGTTGCTTTTGTTCCGAAGCCCTAGATTAGACAGCCTGCCCAAAAAGTCTCTGTTTCAGCCCTTCGTCGGTGCTAATCCAGAAGTCCTGTAAGTGGGCCTGTTCGTCTGCAGAACTTCTCGAATAGGTAAACTTTCTTGGGGAACACAAGAACGGCAGAACAGAGCCTGTAAGGATTATCGGAGGTGGGGGCTAGTGTTACCTACTACGGGGTACGGTTAGGACACTCCCAGATGGTCGTAGAAAGCACTACTAAGTTCAGGTTAGAGTGGGGAGCGGGTCATGGATACGGGGGAGGTTTTTGGACATGGAGGGATAGCTTTTCGGGAATTCCGTTACATAATACGCTGTTTACTTCATCCAAGAAACACGAGCATCACGGCCAGTCTGCCACTTCATTCAATGACTACAATCCTTAAAACAGTATTCTTTCTTGCGTTCCCCTTCTTCCTTAGTCTAGTCATACAGCGTTTCCTCATCTACGAGGAGCTACATTTAATGCCCTCCAGGATCTAGCTGACTAGCTGAACATATCATTAAATGTGTTGACTACCTTTTAGCCCTCCTCTCAAAACATTCTGCCGTATAGTGCTCTGCAATAGGGCAGAAAAATATTTAGCTCGGGGGATTCTCGTGTTGGAGATAAGTCGCTCTAAGATCCGATCCAAGACCTGCTTTAAGCTTTCCTCACAGCACTGAAGAAGAAAAGCAGTGCGATATCTTAAACAGAAGAAAAGGAAAGACCAATGCTGATAGAGTATCATGAGATGGAAGGGAAGCAAGTTTGCTCTCTATTTGTAAAAAGGTGACGTAGAACAAGAAAAGGGCGGACCACAGGTTATGAGCAAGGAAGCCTGCTTATTGACAAATTAGGACCAAGAGAAAGATGCATTGCTGTTGGGAATCACGAGTATAATCTAACTCACTGCTGCGGACGTAGAGTACCACCCCGGAAAAATTGCATGATTCCAGCAGTCATCCAGGGCTCGTACCCCCCGCATCCTTGGCGATATGGAGGAGCCTGTACTCGAGTAAAGGTGAGAAGACCGGTAAGCGAGATGGTAGGGTTCGCCAAATTAGAGCATAGTGTACCAGTATTGGAGGTCCGGAGGTGCAACAAAAATTGCCTGCAATTGAGCCTCGGAGGAGTGATATCGGGAAACATGGAATTGTGCGTTCATATCACTTCACTCCAGCTAGAAAATAAGCGAGGAAATGGTTTCAAATTCAGGAATCTAGTAGCCTGCTAAACTCCCTGAAATTTAGCAGAATGGATGCAGGGATCGCTAACCTCAGGCCAATAGAGGGAAGGCTATTTTATTTATAAAAGGACTATGTAACGTTAAACCTTCAGATAGAGCATGCTGCCAATTTAAGCACTTATATGGCTGTACATATTGGATTCTACACCCGCCCAATGCCCTCCTTATTTAGATACATATTCTGTTTAGTTTAATAACCTACAGCCATCATAGCGACTCCCGCACTGAAGAGCTGACGAAGCGGACATCATCGCGCCACTTCCCCATTTCCACGACCGCTCGACATTACTCACCAGGCGCTGGCTACATATCCCGTAGCTCTCCCAGCGAGATTTCTCAAGCCCTCTTCACCTTCGTTGCGGTAGGAGACAAATGGCAAAATATTTAACAAAATCGGGAACGGACAAACCCTTCGCTTTTGAACAACAACTTCCTCTTCCGCACGACTGATTTTGAGCTGGGATTGCTTAACTCATAACGGCGTCAGTTTTCCTACCACATTCCACGGTATAGAGGCATTCTCACGGGGTTCTAGGAAACACTAGTGAGGCCGCTGATCGGCTTTTCCGGCTTGGGGATATTTTCCCCATGTCTCCAACGAGCAAGCAGGGCATTTGGCATGTCCGGGACAGGTTAATGTCTTCATATCCTCTGATGTTCGCCCATGGGCTTTGTCTGCGTAATGATGCTTTCCGCATCCTTCTAGTTCTGAAGTGGCTTCGCTAATATTAATGTGTATGGTAGAGTAGTTTTGGGTGAAAGGATTCTTGATAGGCTCTACTACATGGCCAGCGATGGCTTCTGGTTTGAGATGATTTCTCTTCTTGCGTAACAACATAGCCAGGTTGTCAGCAGCCAATACTTATAGGGCCCCATCGTCACCTAGCGCACGAACTTTGCCGAGCCCGGCCATTCATGCGAACACATCACTGCCGACCCATAATACTTCCCTTAGTGTCTCGGTGTCTATCAGAATGTTTCTGCTCATGTGAAAAGGGACACGGCACCATTCTCTATCAAAGATTAACTAATTCAGTGCTAAAGTCGGAAAGAAGCAAGAGGAAATAAAATGTGAAAATATGTGAGAATTCCAACACTTCCTCGACACACAAGCAACCCTTAATCCTAGTAAATAATATTTCAACAGCTGCCACTTATCGCCTCAAATTCGTCATTCTTGCCAGTTTGCCGCAGCCCCATATCTTCCTGGCAGACCCCCGGAACCCTGCACACCGGCACGGATTAGCAGCCCACTCGTGTCATCAGGAGCCTAGCCAAACTTCTCCTGGAATGATGGATTTACTGGTTGGGCCGTCGTCTTTCGGGCAGACTACCATCCTCCTAAAACACAGGACAACACCACCTTTAAATCGAAGTCATGCCCAGTCCTCTTTCCTTGGAAGCCTCTCCTGTGCTCGCCTCTGATTCGCCACACTTCCCTCGATACAGCAACACCACAGCTAGACTGTTGGCGCTTGCTAGGGTGCAGGGGTGGTCTGGTCCAAGAATCTTCTCCCGCCGCGCCCATGCATGCCGATGCATCTCCCCCGATTCATCGTACTTTCCTTGATGTCGAAGTACGATGGCTAGATTTTCGACACTTATTAGGGTGTGGGGGTGGTCTGGCCCAAGAACCTTCTCGCGCCCCTTCAGTGAATGCCGATGCATTGACTCTGATTCATCATATTTTCCCTGGTGTCGCAGTACGATAGCGAGATTGTCGACACTTATTAGGGTATGGGGGTGGTCTGGTCCAAGACCCCTCTCGCGCCCTTCTAGTGAACG